AAAAAAAAAAAAAAAAAACCACCAAATTCCAACAGAAAGGTGTTCTACAAAATACCTGACTAGTACTCCTCAAAACGCTCAGTCATCAAAGACGAAAAATCTAAAGAAACTGTCATAGTCTAGAGGAGCCCAAGGAGAAACAGTGACTAAATGTCATGTGGTATCATCCTGGATGGGATCATGGAACAGAAAAAGGACATAGGTAAAAACTAAAGAAATCTGAGTAAAGTGTGGACTTTATAGTTAAAGGTGATATGTCAATATCCATTCTTTCATCATGACAAATGTACCACACTAAGGTATACAATATGTATTAGAGTTCTCTAGAGGGCCAGGACTAATAGGATAGATGTATATATGAAAGGGAGTTTCCTAAGGAGTATTGACCCACATGATCACAATGTGAAGTCCCACAACAGGCCATTTGCAAGCTGAGCAGCAAGGAAGCCAGCCCAAGTCCCAAAACCTCAAAAGTAGGGAAGCCAACAGTGCAGCCTTCAGTCTGCAGCCAAAGGCCTGAGAGCCCCTGGCAAACCACTGGTGTAGGTCTCAGAGTTCAAAAGCTGAAGACTTGGAGTCTGATGTTTGAGGGCAGCAAGCATCCAGCATGAAAGAGAGATGAAGGCGGGAAGACTTAGCCAATCTAGTCCTTCCACGTTCCTCTGCCTGCTTTTATCCTAGACGTGCTGGCAGCTGATTAGATGGTGCTCACCCAGATTGAGGGTAGGTTTGTGTCTCTCGGTCCTCAGACTCAAATGTTAATCTCCTTTGGCAATAGCCTCACAGACACACCCAGGAACAATACCCTGCATCCTTCAATCCAATCAAGTTTACACTCAATATTAACCATCACACCATACTAAGGTATAATGTTAATAACTACATGTGGAGTATAAACTATTATCCTTTCAATTTTTCTGTAAATCTAAAACTACTCAAAAAAATCAAGTCTATAAAAATATCTCCTAACAATCTCTCTGGACTCTCTTTCCTTATAAAAATGAAAGTAAACAGAGTATCCCATCTTTATATTCACAATCCAGTGCATTTTCCATTTTAATGGGCATCTTTGAGCAATTCTTTCATCCAACTACGAAATATCAATTACAGGAGGCACTGATCTAGATTCGGGATACATCACTGAAAGAGAATACAAGTGGATCTCACATTACACTAATTAAAGTTTATGTATTATGGTATAACTCAGTAGTTTTTAAAGACATTACTGTTTCTCTACTAGGTTCATGCCATAAATTCCTGACAATAAAATCCTGAACAATTCCTTTTGGGAATTCCTTATCAGCAAGGAGTTTTTAGGCTATCACCATCTCCTTGAATGACAGAAGTTGCAGTGTCTAGGGCAAGGACAGGGAAAGATTAAAGTGAGCCTTAACCTGAGGCTTTATAGGGGGATTATGTACCCTATTTCCTAAGATATTCAAATGCCATAGTTAGCAACATACTAGAATTCAAGTTCTAGAAGCAGGAGGTGACTGGGAAGGTTCTGCTTCATACCTTTACAGCAGGGAGCATCATTGAGTTTGGACAATGGGTGCTACAGGTGGCATGTTAAGCCTCCAGAGGTAAGTCCCCAGTGGAGGCTATGGATACTCTTACATGCCTAGTGGGGCCTGTACCTCCCATCACCAGTTGCAATGGAATGCACTCCTATCCACCACCTCCACCCAAGATCTAGGACCTCCCATCACAGATAGGGCCATGAAACAGGTGCAGCCCCATGGTACTGCCCTCTCCTGGGCCCCTGGACCCTCCCATCAGAAGCCCCGAAATTCCCTCCACTCCTGCAACCAAAGCTAAGCAGCAGCTGGCAGAGGTAGGAGTTCCAGGGATATGGCTCAGTCCCTCCCCAAATGGCCCTTCAAAGCAGAGGTGATAAATATTTTATTTCAAGCTTTTCTGTATATATTACCTGTATACTTATTCATGCAATTAGAGATAGTCTGTGCCTTTTTTCTCCTCTAAAAAATAGGTCTAATATTTACTTTTCAGGGTTGTAATATTGGATAATGCTTATAAACATATTGTTATCATTATTACTGATGTTTAAAAAAAATGTGTTGGGCAAAGCAAGGTGACTCACATGTTATCTCAGCACTTCAGGAAGCTGAGGCCTCCTGCTTGAGGCCAGGAGTTTGACAGCAGCCTGGGCAATACGTGGAGGCCCCATCAATCAATGAGTCACAGATGTGTTGGTTTTCACCTGTGTGCATTCTTCATTAGCAGTGAGGACACTGCTGATAAAGGCATTACAATAGGTAGGACAAAATGAATCATGGGGAATTTGTATGGCTGGCAGGAGCAGCAGTTGGCTGCGGCCGCTATCCTTAGTGCCACAAGGTCACTATGTCATCTAGATATGAAACCCAGAGGCAATCCTTTAAATCCAATGAATCATGCCAGGTTTAAAGATTATATAAAAGATGGCTTAAAACATTTTACAGATACTTCATTAATAAAAGTATAGCTCAAAATGTCTTATGATTTATTAAAACTTTATGGTAATAAAGTTCGTATCAGGGTAATATTCTTAGAAAGGGGTCAGAATCCTTTTTGGCCTCTATCTATAGCCATTAAACTTTATCAGCTGTATCAGTACTAAGAACAGCTAAACACTAAAACTAAGCTAACATGAACAAGGAATGAAGGGAAATAAAGATCTAGAGACTAGGAAATGGGAGAGAGATATTTCAAGGAAAAAAGATTGTATTTTGTGCTCACAGGCTGCCTACCATCACTGACATGCTTGTATACTCTTTTCTGCCACCTCTTTCTCCAGTTTGTTTTGTGAGCTGAGTTTCCAAATCAAGCAAAGGGGTACCTCATATTGTCATTATGTGAAAGTGAAATGTCAACATACTTTCACAGAGATGCTTCTAACATTTGATATAATACTATTTTAAAAAAGGAGCGCCCTCTGGGTGGAACAACTAAAAAAAGGGCACCTTTTCCTCTGGTGCCCCTTGTACTGGATCCCCACTCATCCCTTGAACTGGACACAACCTGCACAACCATACAGTGGCCTTGCCTCCAACCGAGGTGAACCCTGTGGTGCGGAGCACATAACTTACTTTTAATAAGATGCTGATAGCACAGGCCACACCAACCGATCCAGTTCCTACAATGGAGATCTTATTGTGATGAATGGCCTCCTCTTTCGCGAAATTCTTAATAAGTTCACTCTTGACAGTTGCCATCTTGGAAACCTAACAGTGAAGACAAATTGCACAGCCATTTCCAAGACCTGAAATTGGAAATGGCTTGGAATTCCAAGACCTGTGGTGAGAGCGCGTATGGAGAACTTCTGGGCCCCCGTGTGGAAGGAGGTGCAAGACCGACAAATCTGACAGCAAAGAAACTGGGTAGGTTCTGGCCAGGTAGCTCAGCATCCATGAAGCGGACCAGGGGAAGGAGAAGAAAGCGTAAGTATAGTTAAGAGGAATTAAGAGAGAGAGGGGAAAGGAACAGGGGCTGCTCCATCAAACATGAAACCACAGCTGGGACGGCTCTCCGTCCCGCAGCTGACCCCCTTTTCTCCCCCCTCTACCCTACTTTTCCCCCAACCTCCAGTTCGCAGCTCCTGGACTGCGCCCGGGGTCCGCAGGTCCAAGTGCCAGGTACTTCTGGCGACACTCACAGGGGTGAAGGGCCACCCGCGCCTGAGCAGGTCACATGCCGCCTGGCGGAGACACGGAACCATCCTTGGGCAAAAACAATTCGCTCCCGCGGCGCCCGCTCTCTGGCTGCTCCCCAGGACTCTTGCAGCCCAGCTCATGGCCACTCACTCAAGAGTGAAGAAAGAGAATGGAGGAAAGCGGCGTTACAGCTCCTCGAGGCACGAAGGAGATGAACCACCAACTAATAGACGCCGGGTCACCTCCTTACTGCAGCTGCGCGGACCGCACCCAGCTCGTGCAGGCATCGCAGGTGTGATGCTTGGCAGGTGTGAGGCCGGAAGCGGGCTGTGAAGCACCGCACCTGCGCCTCTGCCTGCCCGCCCCGCCCCCGCGTGCTGGTGGGCGCGCTGCTGTGTCGGTGGTTGGCCGGCTGCAGAAGGCGCCCGAGGTGAGGCAGGCACAATGCAGTGCACGGCCTCTCCCTGTCTCTTATACACATCTAGATGTGTATAAGAGACAGGTATAAACTATTATCCTTTCAATTTTTCTGTAAATCTAAAACTACTCAAAAAAATCAAGTCTATAAAAATATCTCCTAACAATCTCTCTGGACTC